CCCCTTTTTGTTTCCTATTTTGTTGCATTACCACCTGGAGTTGAAATGGATTTTTATTTGGATTACATGTAATGGACATACACAAAATAGTCCCAAATGGTGAAGTGAAATTAAGAAAATAACTTGTTTTAAAAAATTATTTTGTGTTTGCCCCCTAAACCTAATAACTGGTTGGGCCACCCTTAGCAGCAAGAACTGCAACAAGCGTTTGCGATAACTTGCAATGAGTCTGTTACAGCGCTGTACAGGAATTTTTGTCCACTCATCTTTGCAGAATTGTTGTAATTCAGCCACATTGGAAGGTTTTCGAGCATGAAACGCCTTTTTAAGGTCATACCACAGCATCTCAATAGGATTCACGCCAGGACTTTGACTAGGCCACTCCAAAGTCTTCATGGTCCTTGAAGACCAAGGAGCTCTCCAAACAGGTCAGAGACAAAGAAGTACAGATCAGGGTTGTGTTATAAAATAAAAAACTTTGAACATCCAATAAAAAATGGAAAGAATATGGCACCACAACATCGATATGAACAGAAAGAAAAGGTGGGGTTTAGGTGTAAGTTACTCTTGTTGGAAATATTACAACGCCATTGTAGAGATAAAATGTAACATTTTATTAATACATCTCTTGAAAATTCTCAATTACAGTGTCCTTGTGACTGGCAAAATAGTCCCACCTATGTCAGCACCTCAAAAGAGTGACCACATTATAACAGCTGAGTACATATAAAATCCAAGCCAATAGAAGACATGTAGGAGAATTGATAAGCCGAGGTCTTGGGGTGCTGACTAATAGTTTTGCCTCAGCACGTTTCACCTATGATTGCTTCCTCAAGAGAGGAACTTAATGCCTGAAAATAAAAGAGGCTACGTCAGAGACACACACATCGATCCCAATTCCCATCACCCTCTCTCCCCCTCCACTGTACAAGGGGGGTCGGGACCACAGGAGGGGTCGAGCCCCACACGATACTACTAGAGTGTGGTGCTGTGGTTGATCTGGTATAGAATGTGCAGCCAACGTCTGTAGTGTATAGAAACTTTATACACAGAAAGTAATACAGTACGGAGTTTAGGAAGTACACCCTGTCTAGGGGTGTGTGTGCTTATTATGCAGATTATTCAAAAACTTACTAAATGCTTTTACCTTTTTGCTCTTTAATTGTATTTGATCAGAATCTATAAATAAAATATAATATCGCCTTCTACAGGGTGAGACTGAAGAATTGGATGATACTTCAGGCCCTGCAGAACCAAGGGTGAGGGATACGCCAGGAGACATAACATTTGAAGCTGCCGTCAACACAATTGCCTTTCACCCTACCCGGGACATCCTTGCCGCAGGAGATTTAGACGGAGATGTTTTTGTGTAAGTGTTCTTTTATTTTAAAGAACAATTGTTTCCTTTATTTTGTCATGGTTGTCATCAAATGTTATTACTTTGATTAAAGGAGAGCTCCAGGGTAAAGTGCTAAGGAACAGCACAGTAGTGACAGCTCAAACATAAGTTTACTATTACACATTATTTAACTAATTACCTCTCTTGCTATAAAATTTGCAAATTAGAGTGTATACATTTATCTGAACCATGTGACTGTTTAAAAAAAAAATCTATGGACCCGCTGATCGCCTATATGTGAAACACCCGGTACCGGGTGTTCGCATTGGACGGGTCTTTTCTGCCCGTGCGTGCCCGCTAGGGGGCGCGCACGAGCAGAAAAAAAATGCCGTCTGGCGACGGCAACCCGCGAATGCGACAGTGCCGTCCGTCCGTTTTTCTACTACGGGCGGACGGCAACTGGTTAATGTAATTAAAAAGAAAAAAGTATCCTTATCCTGGTGTGTACACTTTGTGAATTGAGTCATTTCCTCGGCACTGGTGTGCTAAAACAGGGCAACAGCTGCACAGATGGACATTTAAATGATCAGAAAATTAATGTTATGTGTATAGATATAATTGAAATGAGTTAAAGCAGAACTCTGGGTAAAAATTTTCTTAACCCTTATAGTGGGCTAAGCCCTGCATTGCAAGGGTTATAAGTGCTCGTTTTTGTCTTGGTTCAAGAATAAAAAAAAGTTATACTCACGAGATCTTCTGGGCTGGCTTGTTCTTAGACTAGTTTCTTCCACCTAACTTCCCCTCTGCTGCAGCGGTCTATGAGTCATCATGTGCTATACACAGTGTATCGGATGTGAGGACGCTGATGAACATACCATCGTTGCAGCGGAGGAGGAAACAGGCAGAAGGGAGCGCTGTCACTGCCGGATCCAAGGTTCGGGTGAGTATAACTTTTTTATTTTTGAACCTAGACAAAAATGAGCACTTAACCCTTTCAGTGTGGGGGTACATTTTTACCCAGAGTTGCTCTTTAAGTCAGCACGGTAACTTATCTTGGCCTTTCAAGCTGCAGACGCTACATTGTCCACGGCACATGTGTCAAACTCAACGCACAGGGGCCGAATCCGGCCCACCAGGCCATTTCCTAGACTTCTACTTTCAGATCTAGGTAGTAAATTATTACTAAAACCAGTGATAATCGAATGCAGAGGCAATTATGATAAAGATTAGATACATTTATTTAGTCTTACAGACCCTCTGCGGCCCTCGATTAAATTGAGTTTGACACCCCTGGTCTACAGCCATTAGTGCATGGGTAGCAAACCTCTGGCCCTCCAGCTGTGGTGGAACTACAAATCCCATGAGGCATTGCAAGATTCTCACAGCCACAGATATGACTCCCGAAGAGAGATGCATCATGGGATTTGTAGTTTCACCACAGCTAGAGGGCCGTAGGTTTGCTACCCCTGCATTAGTGTAAAGTGAAATAGAGTACAACAAGCTTCATGCCGTAGTATACCAGAGTTTAGTGGTCTAAACTTGTGCTGCGGCACTTTGAATGTAAACCCCATTATATATTTATTATACAAAATGGAATATATTTTAAATAGAATGGATAACATAATTTCAGATCCCATTCGCCTATACTGTACATGTGCATAAAAAAAATCTATATAATAGTTCCATTTAGGCGCTTACATGTCTTTTGATGGAGTATACATGACATATACTGTACATTCGTGTCACTGAATCACAGCATTCCAAGGAGTGTATACTTGTTTATATCATTCATAGTTTGTTGTTTCAGGTATTCATATTCCTGTGTAGAGGATGGAAACAAAGAGCTCTGGTCGTCTGGACATCACCTCAAATCGTGTCGAGATTCAGCATTTTCCACCGATGGCCAACGTAAGCCTTTCTTCTTTTCAAGTCTTAAGCGGTACACTAGCATTTGGGGATAGCTCTGGGGAACCGGAGATGAATTAAGGAGGCAGCAGAGTCTCTGCCTTTAAATCAGTAAAAAGATGACAAAGTAAACCTGACAGGTTTTATTATTGCTATTGTGATATTAAAGTAACATTAAAGTCAAAAATGTTTTTCCCTCCCCCCGATGTTAATGTCAGCACTTACCTTAAATGATGTCTCTTAATCTGATCTTCTTCTTTCTTGTCCTTTTCATCTGTTCCTCCAGCGCTGCGGCGGCTCTCAGATCCAGCGCTGACTCCTCTGAGCTTGCTGGCACTTCCTGTCCCATGGTGTCTGCATGCAGTTGCACGTGTCCATAGACTTACCTTGTGTCTCCCCTCGCGTCCCAGCCGAAAATGTGATGTGCGCATGTGCCCGCCCCAAGATGCTTTGCGGCCGCCCGAGATTTATCACATTTTCGGACGGGAGCGCGCGGGGAAGACACGGGTAAGTATTAACCCTTTTCAAAGCGGTTTTTTTTTGTTTGTTTTTTTCACACTTTTTGCCTATATCTACTGCTTGCTAGCAGTAGATATATGCAAAAACACCCGAGGCTTTAATTATCCTTTAATGTAGCCTGAACAATTTCATTTTGATGTGCAAAGTGCTTTAGATTTACTTTGATGTACAAAAAAAATGTAATCGGTCAGTGATTGCTGCTGAGAGTTGGTGTGTTTCAACTTAGAACACCAATCCCAATTCCCCAGTCCCCACTGCACCCATCTCTGCTCCTGTACAGAGTACACTGCACTTTACAGTGTAGGTCCTGGAAGTAAGAAGCAATTCTTATTGGTCAGTGTGATTATATGTTCGTGCTGACCAATGAGTGCTCTCCAATACACATTACAATGATTACAGATTGCGGGGCTGTGAAGTACAGTGTATGGTTATAGACCACTTCACCAGCCGGCATAACACAGATAAGTGCAGCATGGACTGGGGGAGGTGAGGAGGTAAGTTCTTCAAGTTTTTTGAACAGGTGAACCTACCCTTTAAATTTGAATTCCACTTCACAAGTCTAATTGGGAAAACACCTATTTATTAAACATTTTATTATTTTTTATTTATTAATTTATATTCAAATTTAAATGCTGTTTCTAAACTAATCTGGACTAATTTTTTCTTTCTTTTTTAGAGCTTTTCACCATTTCTAAAGACAAGTCTATTCACATTATGAATGTGGAGGAGGGAAAACTGGTCAAGCGAATTACTAAAGCTCATGAGTAAGAATATTTCTGAAAACTTCACAGGGTCAGCAGGGTTTTCAGCATCGTAGAATAGTTCTCCAGCAGACTTGTAAACATTTCACATTTTCTTTCCTAGATGTTATTTTAGAACATTTGGAATAATGTATGGAACCCAAAGCAAATGCCCAACTCTTACCCGTGCCATCCAACCATTCATTTTTCGTTTTCATATCTTACATTTTCCAGATTTTATTCTCATTGTACCTGAAAATTTAACTAAAAAACATTATCTGAGTAAAGTAGAGCTGAGACCAGTAAAAGGCAGATGTAAAAGACATAAATGAATACAACTCTGTATTACTTACATCAATGAAAGCAGTTTTTATTTGCAAGCGGTGTATGTAGCGGAGTTTGACTTTCTATCAGCCTCTTGCAGTGCACTGTACAGCTGAGCTCATGCTGTAAAAAGGAGAAGCAGCACAAGAGCCCAGTCGGTTGCATTGCAGTGCCCCTGTGCTAAGGACATGCTGCTTTGACAGACAAGCCTGTGTTTTGTGGCAGAGCTGTGTACATTTCAGGAATAGATAGACAGAGATATATATCTTTTGGCAGACAAAACAACCCAATATATGTATTTCATCCATTTGCCTGGAGTTCAGCTTTAGGTTGTAAATGATTGCTCGGAGTAAATCGTTACTTAGTTGCTATTGGTGGCAGATCTATTTCACACCATTCTGACCAAGTCTCCTAGACAATCTATAGTTTATTTTTTCTTCTCTTTGTGTTTTACTTTTTTTTAACCTTAGTTCTCCTCCATTCATGATGGTTCGGTTGTCTCGGGAGGCGAGGGCCTCCCTGGTCTGGTGCCTTCGGTCTCCGTCCCTGGTGTTGGGCAAGTCCTTCCTTCCCATTCACTGGACGGTGGTCACCACGGATGTCGGCCTGTTGGGCTGGGGTGGAGTCCTGGACGTTTGGACGGCTCAGGGCCGTTGGTCGTCGGAGGAGTCTCGGCTTTCGCTCAACGTGCTGGAACTTCGGGCGATCCGTCTCTCTCTTCTTCATTGGACGGCCGATCCGGCTAGCTCAGAACTGCCAGAGCTCCGGCCGAAGGAAGCCAGAGCTGACAGGAGCTGCTTTGCGGTCTGCATCCGACACAGATGCAGACCGTGGAGCTGCTCCTGCAAGTCAGGTACGTGGTCTGCGACCGTGTGCCTGACATGTCAGCTGGCTGCGGGCCACATAGTACCGGCTCGCGGGCCGGAGTTGGTTCCGCGGACCAGTACTTGGAGACAGTGGCGTCACAAGGGGGGTGCGGCCCACACCCAGGTGCCACCATTTTAGGGGTAACACCAAAATGACTCACAGTTATTTTGGTGTCACCCCCCTCTGAAAAGTCGGGCGCTCGGTCATGGA